CAGGAGTTTGGAGCTGCAGGATCTGGCTGCTTCCTAGGGGACCCTCAGCTTGGCCCCGCCACTTCTGCCTCTGCCAAGGGGCCTCTCCTGCCTACCCAGTTCTCAGCATCTGTCTCCCACCCCTGACTCGGTCTCCCCTCCGGGGCCTGAGCTGGAGGCAGAGGTGAGCAGTGGCCTTGGGGGCCACCCTGACCTGTCCCCCCTTTGGCGTCAGTGCCATGAGGGGCTGTCTGAACCCCAAGACGCTCTCCACGCCTCTGCTCCTAGAACTCGGATCCATCCTGCCCAGACAGCATCCGCCCGGCATCCCAGCATTGTATCCGTGTAGTTTCGATAGAGCCTTCCACGGAAAGCGCCTCTTGTCCATAAACAAGGCAGGACGAGTGCTCCCCCAGGCTGCCCCCAACCTCCTGCACAGTGGCCGCAGAGCTAGACAGTGAGGGGCGCCCTATGTGGCCACTTCCTCGCCCGCCCAGCTCCTGGTGCTCCTTGGTCCCTTGCTGTGTGGGTTAGGGTTTCGTGGCTGCATGTTAGAAGAAACCCTGGTGAACAGAAGTTAAAGGAGGCTGTGTATTTTCCCTTGTGCAGTTCTGCCAGTGCCACCGCTGGACAGTTACCAGGCCTTCACTGAGTCCCAAGACCCAGCTCCCTGCAGCTCTTCCCTGTGCCATCCCCAGGTGGGGCCCTCTTCTTCACAGACCCAGATGAAGGTTCAGGCTCCAACCATCACACCCTCAGTTCCAGGCAGCAAGCAGGAGAGAAGGGTGATGCAGGGTGCACCCCCTTTCTTTTAAGGTGCTTTCCCAGGGCCCATGAAACACAACTGCTTACATCTCATTGGCCAGAGTGCACCGCTCCTAGCCAAGGGGGGCTGGGAGATGAGGGATTTCACCTGGGGGGCGTCTCAGTCCTAGTAAAAGGAGAACGGATGTGGGGGCTGCCAGCAGCTCCCATCATGCATGCAAAGCTCCCACGGAGCTGTGACCCTTGCCCTTGCCCGTGCCTACCTGCCCAGTGTAAGCCTACCTGGCTTTCTGCCCACCCAACCCCACCCCACAAGCAGCCGTGGGGCTCACTGGGGACAGTCAACCTCGGCCCATGGCTACGACCTCAGCAGCGCTCAGCTGGCAGCAGTCTGCTCCCCCGCCCCGGTGTGTTCACATTCCCCTCCACAGGCCACCGGGGCTGCCACAGGCTCATGGCCACCTCCCCCCCCAAGATCCTGCCACCCGCCTGCCTGTATCCACCACGTGCTGCCCTCCCTGCTGTCCTGGCACTGGCTGCTCTCCTGTCACCCTGCTTGCCCTTGTGGATTCCAGCAGCCCCTGCCTCCGCCTTCAGAGCCAAGGTTATCAACAGAGCTGTCACCTCTGGCCCCAGAGCGTCCTGCCCCATGGGCCTCCCCAGCATCCTCCACGTGCCCTGCTCACCCAGCCGCTGGTTCCTCTTCTGAAAGTCCTGGGGCACCCTGGGCTTAGGGGCCCCACCTCGCCTAGTCCCTGCCACGTCCAGTTCCTGCCACAATGCCCTCTGAGGGCCGGGGACTTCCATACCCAACAGAGCCAGACCATGCTCCTCCCACCTCAGGCCCTGCCTCAGGGTGCCACCTGCAGCCCCACACTCTGAACACCCTTGCCCACCGCACCTTGACACCCAAATCCCAGGAAGGTGCAGGACCCCTCGCCCCCAGACCTCCCCACGTCCTCCACGTCCTCTGCACGTGCTCAGTCTTGCCTGTGCCCACCGTCCTGTCCTGTGTCCACCTGTGCTGCCCAGAGACGTCCGGCTGCCTGGTACCCTCCGGCCTCCCCCAGTGACTGTGTGCCCGTGTGTGTGCCCTCGCTCCTGAGTCTTCCAGTCGGCCGCGCCCAGGGCCTGGTGTGGATCCCCCAGTCTTCGCCTTGGGAGCCCAGAGGACCTGCCCCGCCCATGCGGGAGCAGGGGCTTCCTGGAGGCACCGCTTATGGGGGTGGACTAGGCAGCTGGAGCTGAGGGAGGTGACAGCAGGGAGGAAAAGGCAGTGCCCAAGCAGGTGACCCTCTGCAGGCAGGACTGTCCTGAGGGGCAGGGCTGAGACCTGTCTGCCCCCGTGGCTGTCACTGTCCTCTGGCACCTAGGAAGCCTTTGCGCCATCCCACCCCCAGGGTCACCTTCTCGTCTCACAGAGGGGTAAGTGGGATAGGTGGTCTCATGGGGTAGGTGGTCTCATTCACTGCCAGGCCTCATTGCCCACAGAGACAACCCTGGGATGTTCACATCCCAGCTCGTCCCAGACAGCCCTGTGTGGTGGCCCCCTTCAGAGGCAGCTCTGTTGGGTGCTGACCCGTTCTCTCTCTTCCTGGGAAATAGGGACCAATTGTGGCTGGGCACTTGTCTCCCGGGATAAAGACATTTCCTGCTTCTGGGGCAGTGGGCAGCTGGATGCTGCCTTGTGACTAGGTATGGCCGAGTTAACACAAGCAGTGTGTGTGCATTAAAGGAGAGGGTCCTGGGAAGGCTCCTCTTGGGAATGGCTCAGTGGGGAGGTGCATCTCGCCTCCTTCCTTCTGTAGATCCAGTGATGGCTGGAGCCCCAGCAGCCACTTTGGGCTATGAGGTAGCCTTGGCAATGGAGGCCACACATTGAATGCTGTGAGGAAACATGGTGCTCGGGACACCTATCTTTGGGCTTATGATTGACAGAATACGCATAAACCCTTGTGTTTGTGCCACTCTTACTTGGAGTTCTCAGTTCTGTATAACCCGCCCTCCCCATTTCTACAACAGCCCATCCAGCCCGGCACTGAGGCTGTGACCTGTGCCCTTTTAGTCCTCACACCCACCATCTGCTACTCCCTGGGCTGACTTCAGCCAGCCTGCCCTGGGAGAGGGCAACAGTGCTCTGCACCAGCTGGTCTGGCGCCCCCTGCCTTCCTGGGCCCCATCAGCAGCCCCCGCAGCCCTGGGATGGAGCCCAAGCCCTGAGCCTGGCACTGAGGGCCTGCTCCTGCCAGCCCAGCCTGACACACCTGCACCACCTGCCCTGATGGGCACTCCGTCCATGGAACCTGTGCCCTCCTCAAGCACTGCCTCCTCTGGGCCCAAATGCTTGTGCTCGGCAGCCATCTGAGCTCCAGTCCGCCAGCAGGGTTCTTCCTAAACCTCCACGCTCCCAGCATCCCCTCTGTTCAGGGTCACCTTCTCACCTGTAGCATCCTTGGCCTGCTCTAATACCACTGCCTTCGGTAGATGCTGTGTGAATGAATGGCTCCGCCTCCCCGTCCTTCCCGGCTGCTGGTAGCTGCACTGACCCCAGCCTACAACTTGAGGCTGCCACAGGGCCCAGCCTCTCTCCTCTAGGCCAGGAGCCCCTGGGGATGATGCCATTTTTAAAGCCTGGCCATCCAGAGGTATTGGCCTCCATCAGTCCAGGGACACGGGGGAGGAGTGGGTGAACTGGTGGCCCCTGTACCTGTGCTGTCTCTTCAGCCACCAGGCTCAGCCTTAGGACAGGCGGACCCCTGGAGTGTGCAGGGCCGGGCATGGGCATGTGGCAGGGACTTCTGGGAGGTACTGGGTCAGTGAATCTGCAGGTAGCCCCCCAATTCCCTCCCCTGAACTCAGCCTGAGTCCTTGCCAGCCCCTTCCCCCCATGGGAGGGGCGGTCCTCTCCTGTAGGTGGCTCCTTCGGAACTGGGGCATGGCCCTGCCCACTGGCTCTAAATTCACCTACTGGTAAGGCGGCCCCAGGCTCCCCTGCCTCCCACCTGCCTGGCTCATGCGGACCCAAACCACATTGTGCCAAGTGTAGGAGGAAGGAGAGTGCTGAGGGCATCAAGGGAGGGGGTGCAGCATCCTCCACCTGGGCCTCGGAGAAAGCAGGACTTTAGCAACCCGTCAGCACCAAGTCACCCAGTGAGGCCTGGGCTCAGAGTGGTGGAGCTGCTCCCAGGGATGCAGTGCCCCCCTCGCCCCTTCCCCCACCCGATCCCCACCTGTCACGGGCACCCACTGCCCTGCCCCATATCTGCCCTCGCCCCTACCCCACCCCTAGGATACACCCACCCACTCCTACTCCTCCTCCCCAGCCTGGCCCCTGTGCAGAAGGGCCAGCCCAGTCCCCAGTTTCACAAGCCCTCATTCCTGCTGGTCAGAAACACAGAGTCAAAGTTTATATTTTATTAATAATAAGCATTCATCAAAAGATCTGATACAAAAAGCACCAGGGTAACAAATTAGTCTTGAATTACATTTACAAAAATTCCCTCTCCTCTTCTATCTCACCCCTATTATCCCAACTTTATTTCAAGATGGACAGAAATATACAAGGAGTCTTACACACAAAAAATTACAAAGCGACAGTAACTAAAACAGTATGATAATATATGATCAGGCAGGCAGGCAGGACAGAAGGTCCAGAAACAGAACCACTGGGGACTGTAACACATCATAAAGGGGGTTTTCCCAATCTGCAAAAACCCCTGAATTCATTGATAAATGGTGTAGGGGCAACTGGACAACTATCTGAAATTTTAAAAACTGGATTTCCTGGCTCACATTTTATATCAAAATAAATTACAGGTAGATTAATGATTTAAATGTGAAAATGAAATCCATAAAAATACTAAAAGATAAAAGAATTTTTAATATAATTTCTGCATGGGGAAGAGCATTCTAACTATAACATAAAACTCAGAAGCCATGAAAGATTGATAATTCAACTACCTAAAAAGTCTACAAGGTATGCTGTGCAGTAGCTCACACCTATAACCCTAGCACTCTGGGAAGCTGAAGCAGGAGGATCACCTTAGGCCAGGAGCTGGATACCACCCTAGGCAACACAGCAAGATCCTATCTCTACAAAAAATAGAAAAATTAGCAGGTGCTAATTTTAGCAGGTGCCACCACACCTGTAGTCCCTGCTACTCAGGAGGCTGAGGCAGGAGGATGGCTTGAGCCCAGGAGTTTAAGGTTTTAAGGTTGCTGTGAGCTATGATGACACCATTGCACTCTACCTGGGGCTTCTAGATGGCCAAAATAATAATAATAATAATAATAATAATAATAATAACAACAACAACAACAATACAACAAAAATGAACAGCATAAGGAAAATCAGAAGATAAATAGGAAATATTTGCAGTGCATCACATAGAGCTAATTTTCTTAATGAATAAAGAACTCCCACAACTTAAGAAATAAACTAGGGGGCCGGCGTGGGGGATGGGGGGAGGAGCAGGAGGTGGGCTCCCAATCCGGTTCCATCCAGTTCTCCTACAGGTCTCACAGCAGTGGCCAGGCAGCCCAGCTTCCAGAAGACTCTAGGGAAGGCTCTCAGCAAGCCCCCTCCCTGCGGTCAAGATGCCCAACAGGAAGGTCAGCTTGGCCAAAGGCACAGTGAAGGAAGAGCCCAAGAGGAGATCTGCGCGGCTGTCAGCTAAACCTGCTCCTGCAAAAGTGGAAACAAAGCCCATAAAGGCAGCAGCAAAGAATAAATCTTCAGACAAAAAAGTGCAATCAGAAGGGAAAAAGGGGAGCAAAGGCCGAAGTCGTTAACCAAGAAACTAAAGATTTACCTGCAGAAAATGGAGAAACTAAAACTGAGGAGAGTCCAGCCTCTGATGAGACAGGAGAGAAAGAAGCCAAGTCTGATTCATATCATACACCGTGTCTTATCAGCGGTCCCTGTCTCCCTTGTACAATCCAGAGGAATATTTTTATCAACTATTTTGTAAATGCAAGTTTTTTAGTAGCTCTAGAAACCTAAAAAGCAGGGAATCCCACCTCATCCCATTTTTTAAGTATAAACGCTTTTTTTAAAGAGGTGAAATCATTCGCTGGTTATTTTTTGGTACAACCAGAAAACAGTGTGGGATATTGAATTATGGGAGGCTTTGACTGTCTTGGGTGTCAGCTTAACATTTCATACAGGAGAGTTAGTTTTTATATCCTCTAATACAGAGTATATACTTAATGGCAATACTTAATGGAGTCCCAGGCCTGCATTTAATGTCTTGAACATTTTAAATTACTTCTATTCCCATGTTGTTTTTTAGTAGACTTGTTTCCTAAAGAAAACCACTCCTTGATCATGGCTGTCTCTGTCAGAGTTGTGTACACTCTGTAATATCTTTGGTTGTGGTAGTCCTGTTTTCCTAATAACTTTGTTAATGTGCTGTGAAAGACTGAAAATTTGAGTATGTAGTATATACAATAATAATTTGATATTGGTGGGACTTATGTAACAGCTTATCAACATACGAAGATACTGGTACTTGATATCTTCTTAAGGAAAATTTGCCTCCAAATTTTAAGCTGGAAAGTCACTGGAATAACTGTTCTAAAAAGAATTAAAATAAATGGCTTTTTATATTTTTGGTACCTATGTTAAGAACTGTGTACTGTACTGATCCTCAACACAACCAATAAAATCTCAATTCCAAAAAAAAGAAACTAGCAAGCCAATAAAAAAATGGGCAAAGGATATGGACATACAATTCACAGAAAAGGGAAAAACAAATTCTTAAACATATGAAGAAATGCTCAGTATCTCACTCCTGAGAGAAAAGTCAACTAAACTATAAGATATCACCTTTTTACGCAGCAAGGAGCAAACTGTTCGCCAACATGCTGGGTGGGTGAGGGTTGGGAGAATAAGTGCTCACACACTGCTGGTGGAAAAGCAAAATGATACTGCTTTTAAGAAGGGCAACTTTGCAGTATCTATCGAAATTATAATTATACAAACACCTTGACTCAGCACTGTCTGTATGTATGAAAAGATATACACACAAGGACATCTGCTGCGGGACTGCTAGGCACAGGGAGAGACCAGAAATAGCCTGCAGATCCAACTACCAGTGTCACTTGCATGAATGACAGTGTACCCCCACCCCACAGCAGAACACCCTGAGCCACAAGACACAGAGGAGCCCTTCCAGAGAGGCAGAGCGAGGACTTGAAACCCACTCCTCTGCAATGCCCAGAACACCGGGGAAACTGCCAAACCAAATTTTTCAAGACTCTGGAAGTGAACAAAAGGCTTATAACATAATCCAGGAAGTGTTTGTTCAAGAATGGCTGAATCTTGGTAAGAACAGTGAGCCTGTGGTGTGTTAACATGCACTAGTCCATTTCCCTCACCCAGCTCTGCAGTGGCCTTTAAAACTAGCAGTCATGTGCTTTTCTGGGGAGCAAGTTTAAAATTAAAAAATAAAGATAAAAAAGAAAACTAGCAGCCATGGCCAGGCACAATGTAATGCTAGCACTTTGGGAGGCCAAGGCAGGAGGATCACTTGAAGCCAGGAGTTTAAGACCAGCTTGAGCAACATAGTGAGACCCTGACTCTAAAAAAAGATTGTAAAACTTAGCCAGGCATGCTGATATGCTCCTGTAGTCCCAGCTACTCGGGAGGCTGAGGCAGGAGGACATACTGAGCCTTGGAGTTCAAGGTTGCAGTGAGCTGTGACTGTGCCACTGCACTCCAGCCTGGGTGACAGAGCAAGACCCTGTCTCAAAAAACCACCACCACTACCACCGTCACCACCAAAACCAGCAGCCACAAATCCACGGAAGCTAGGAACTGACAGCCTATCAGCCACTGAACAGGGAGGACTGGGTTTGGAACTCCTTCGAAAGCTCCATCCCTGGAAAACTGTCACTGTTTGACTTGTCTGGCTGCAGGGCCTGTTGTTATTTGACCTCAGTTGGCTCAGTGGGATTTTGTCAAAAACGTGACAGCTGCCTAGGGTGGTGACAGCCATTGAAGCAGACAAGAGGCTGGCCAAAGATCTTGAATGGAAGAGCTGAGGAATGAGATGTCCACAGTGGTTTTGAAAAGCTCTGACATACCCCTGGAGATATGGGAGGTCATGCATGAGGAGGACCTAAGCTCTTGCCTCTGGCTGACTCTGTGGCTCTGTGCAAGTAGGAAGCGAAGGCTAAGGCAGAGTTGGCAGCTGCCTGCCTGAGTGTTGAAGGTGTGCCCAAAGCATACACACAGCTTGTTGGCAAAAACTGGGAGAGTTATTAAATCAAAACACTTAAGGAAATCTCTATCCAGTCATTAGCTGAGCATGAAGTTGACCAAGCAGACATTTCAGTGGCTGCATACAACCAACAGTTCAGATTTTACAGAATTAGTCCAGGAAAGACACTAAACTACAAACAGCAACAACAACAAACCCTGCAGAGGAGGCATACAATTTTCAGAGTTACATATCACATTATTAATATTTAAAATGTCCAGTTTTCATCAAAAAAATTATAAGATGAACAAAGAAACAATGTGTGTTTGCTTGACCTGTACACAGGAAAAAAAACATTTAATAGAAACTGTCCCTAATTAATCCCTGATGTTGAACCCACTAGACAAATACTTTAAATTAGCTACTATCAATATATTCAAAGAACTAAAGTAAACCGTGTCTAAAGACTTGAAGTATGAGAATGATTTTTCACTAAATGGAGAATATCAGTGAAGATATAGAAATTATAAAGGAGAAACAAATAGAAATTCTGGAGTAGGAAAGTACAATAACTGAAATGAAAAGTTCACTAGAGCAGCTTGACGTCAGATTTTATTCAGCAAAGGAAAGAATCTTTGATATTGAAGAGGGGTCAACTGAGATTATCCAGTCTGAGGAACAGAAAAAAGAATTTTGAAAAGCCTCAGAGACCAGTGGACACCACCAACCATACCAACACACACATAATGGGAGTCCAAGGAGAAGAAAGACAGGAAGCAGAAAAAACATATGGGCAGGGTGCAAGGGCTCACGCCTGTAATCCTAGCACTCTGGGAGGCCAAGGCAGGAGGACTGCTTGAGGTAAGGAGTTCAAAACCAGCCTGAGTAAGAGTGAGGTCCTGTCTCTACTAAAAATAGAACAAATAGCTAGCTGGGTGTGGTGGCATAGTCCCAGCTACTCGGAAGGCTGAGGCAGGAGGATTGCTTGAACACAGGAATTTGAGGTTGCTGTGAGCCAGGCTGATGGCACGGCACTCAGTCTAGCCCGGGCAACAGAGTGAGACTCTGTTTCAAAAAACAAAAACAAAATAAAACAAAATATAAACAGTAAAAAACAACACAGAAAGAATATATGGAGAAATAATGGCCAAAAACCTTCCAAATCTGATGAAAAACATTAATCTTTATAAGCAATAAAGTCAATGAACTGTAAACAGCATACATTAAGAGACCCATAACTAGACACATCATAGTCAAACTGTCAAAAGCCAAAGTGTCTTGAGAGCAGCAAGAAACTCACCAGGCATCTTCCACAATATCAGACACTTCTCATCAGAAACCATGGAGAACAGAAGGCCGTGGGATGACATTTTCAAAAAAAAAAAAAAAAGACTGTCAACCAAGATGTCTATATCTAGCAAAATTATTCTTCAAAAGTGAAGGAGAAATTAAGATATTCCCAGATAAAAGATTAAGAAAAGCTATTGTTAGCAGACCTGCCCTATAAGAAATACTAAAGGTGGCCTTTCAGGCTGAAGCAAAAGACACTAGACTCAAATCCACACAAAAAAATAAAAAGCACTGGAAAAGTTAACTACAGAGCCAACTACAGAGACAGTATAATGAATTTTAGTTCATAAATCTTTTCTTCTTCTACCTGATTTAACAGACAACAGCATGAAGCAATAAATACAAAATTATCTTGATGGGCTTGCAATCTACAAAGATATAATTTGTATGGCAAAAACAGCACAAAGAAGCTGGGAGGACACAGAGCTATAATGGGAGCAAAGTTGGTTTTGGGTTTGTTTTTTTTGCGACAGTCTCACTCTGTTGCCCAGGCTAGAGTGGTGTCAGCCTAGCTCACAGCAACCTCAAACTCCTGGGCTCAAGCAATCCTTCTGCCTCAGCCTCCTGAGTAGCTGGGAATACAGGCATGCACCACCATGCCCGGCTAATTTTTTCTATATATTTTTAGTTGTCCATCTAATTTCTTTCTATTTTTAGTAGAGACAGGGTCTTGTTCTTGCTCAGGCTAGGCTCGAACTCCTGAGCTCAAACAATCCGCCTGCTTCAGCCTCCCAGACTGCTAGGATTACAGGTGCGAGACCAGCCAGGAGCAAAATTTTTATACATTATTAAAATTAAGTTGGTGTTGATCTAAGCAAGATTGTTTTAAGTTGTTAACTGTCCTACTCAGAGCAACCAAGAAAATAACTTTAAAAAACAGAAGAGACAAGGAAATTAAAATGTTATAAAGGAATTAAATATCCACTTAACACACAATAAAAAGTGTGTTAAATGGAGGAATAGAGGAAGAAACAAAAAAGACATATAGAAAACAAATAGAAAAGTAGCAGACATAAATCCAACCTTAGCCAGGCACAGTGGCTCATGCCTATAATCCTAAGCACACTGGGAGGCCAAGGTGGGAGGATCGGTTAAGGCTAGGAGTTCAAGACCAGCCTGAGCCAAAGCAAGA